ATATCGGTATATCGGTCCGATTTTTACCTCAAATATCGCTAAAAATCGCTAAAAAATCGCTAAATATCGCCGATAATATCGGCCCCGATATTTTGACCGATATTTATGGTCCGATTTTTTTCCTAGGAGCGATATCCGATATATCGCCGATATATCGACGATATATCGCGATATTAACAGCATAGCTTAGGGGACGTTTACCAAACACTAACTAGATAAGCGCTTACCGGATCTCTTACCTTACCGGGTGAGCATGGCAAGGACCAAGAATCTTACCCGGTAAGAGGCATGGCAAGGACCGAGAAGCTTTAAGTGAGGGTTGTGACTCTTACCTAGTTAGCGCTTACTGGGTAAGTCACGCTTACGAACAATCTTACTTTGCCATTTTGATGACCGAGAATCTTACTCGTTAAGGTAAGCGAGGGTGGTTACTCTTGCCCAGTTAGCGTTAAACAGCCACTTAATAAGCCTTTTGTCCCAAATTAGTCGATGTAAGCTATGGATTGACGTAAAGAGGTACAGTTGCAGATCAGTTTATGCTGGGTTGCAACATGTTACAACTCTCTTTTACTTGGCTTGTGAAAGTGGACGTGAGTCTACACTTGTATAGTTTAGTTTAACTTTGTTCTTTTTTTATAAAAAATTACGTAAATATTTGAGTATGCTTTAGAAGGTGTTTGCATACACCCTTAAACCTGTTGCCACAACCCTGAAAATGCATTGGTAAATCTCCGAGGTTAACAACTTAATTCTTCTAAATACCAAAACTGAAGTGAAAACACCTTCCACAATCAAAGAACACTTAACATTTGATTCCCTCCTACATGGGATCTCCAAAAACAAGATGAACTAGTGAACGTGCACACACCCAGAAATGTTAGCTAGACAATTGCTTCTCCAACAAGAGGAGATGGCCACCAAGTTCGAGGAAATAATCGATCGGTGTATAGATGGCCACGAGGCAAACAGTGCCTGGTGCGACCACCTCGACCTAAGTCAATTGGTGGGTCCCCCGCATCACTGGAGCGTAGCATAGACTCTTGTGCGGCTCTTCCCACGGCTAAAGCCGCCCAACAACCTGTGGGACTCACTGTTCGTTTTCCCACGCCTTACGCCGCACGCTAGGTCGCCCCTGTCCAGCTTGGCTTTGCCGTGTCCACGTGGTCCTCTCTTGATTTTTTTCACATTATCTATTTATTCATTTTTCAGTCATTTTCTTTAGATAATTACTTTACCTTTTATTTTTCTAATACAATTAGGTTACTTTTTAGCCCCTATTTAGGAACTCTAAATATTTTTTTATTTGTTATGCTTTGAATTATTAATAAAGTTTTCTTTTTGAGAGTTTCTCATAAATTTCTGAGTTTACGTTTGTAAGCTCGTTGTCGTTAGGGTTGCGACGTTTCTTGACCTTTTCGCACTTTCCCTCTGCGTCACTGTAGACCATGGTGTGTGTGATATCCAACTGCGTTGATGCCTTGTCTGTTTTTGAGGTCAGGCCATTTCTTATGTTCTCTGGTGTAGATCAAGTCTCAACTTGTAAGTAGCTGTAGCTAAAATGTTAGGTTTTAGCTGGAATGCTTCATTTGCATGCACCATTTAGTGAGTCCTTTTTATATTTTATCTTGGTGTAGTCAGGTTAGCAAATTTTGTACTTATGATCCCACCCTCTTATTATCTTTTTATACCAGTATTTTAGCAAAAACATCTACCAACACACCATACATAGAATTTCCCATATTCATTTTTTTGTGTTTAGGGATTCGAATAAATGGGAAATTAATGGTTTCATGCTCTTATCTTGTATGCCTTTTTGATGCCTCCTACATACTGATTTAAATTTCTCATGCCTCCTGAGATCTTGGAGTTACTTGTTCTTTCTTAAATCAGTTCCTGTTTCATCTCTGTTGGCCGATTCCTTTTTGTGGACCAAAAACTATGTTAAAATAAGGCTTCAGGTCAGGTGATGTTGGTACCATCTGTTTATTTCCTTTATCAAGTCCTGTCTGTGGTATTTAAATTAGCGCGAATATTGAGTCGGGTTAACGTGTATCTCGTGCTTTCCCTTGTTTGGAGAGAACATAGATGACATTGAATCTTTGGTTGTTTATGAACAGTAGTACACTGTGTTAGGACAAACGTTACACACGCAATACGCACAACCCAAAAGAACAAGAGAAGAACACAAGAATTTACGTGGTTCACACGATCATATTGATCGTGCTAGTCCACGGGGGCAACTAGGGTTTTCTTTATTTAGGTGCTACAACGTTTACAAGTACAATGAGATTAATATATATAGACAAACATAATTAGGGTTATCTCCTAATCAAGGAAACTAGGGTAGAGACTAGGGCCGGCTCCTTACTTTATGCCTCCTCCCTTTTGTCTAACTTAGTAGGCCGAAGCCTACATTCCAACACACTGAGGGCATTCAGGTTTTACTATTGAGGAACCATTTACGTTAAATAACTAAAAGTGGATCCTCCAGGAAGTTTCAATCCATCATTGTCACTTGCATTATTAGAGATGCTATTTATATGAATCTTACAGAAAGCATCTCTCCTCGTATCATGCTGGACCAATCTGCATCAAACTACACATCTACCTGCACAACATTTAACTCCATGCTAGACTCATCTTGTGTAATGCCGTCCGTTCATGACCTAACATTTAGCTTGTAAATCATAGCACATTTTAGCAGAATCCTATAAAACATCTCTTGCAACCTAAGATATGTCTTGAATAGATCAATGGACCCTTTATGCATATAGAAAATAGCCTCTATCTTTCATCTCCATGACATAACCAGATTAATATTTTGAGACCTTAGTTTCAACTCTTAGCCTATGCTCAACATGATCAGCTTTTATGTTTTTGCAATGACACATAGGTTTAAGTATCTCATTAATTCTTGTAGGTTGTGGCTAAGGAGGTGTTCCTCCATTTACATGACTTTGTGTTTGTCCTAAAGATACAATTAAATAGTCAAGTGAGGCATACTACGACAACCTTTCCAGGACTTCTCTCAACCTTCATAAGGGTAGTGTTGGGCACTAGAGCTTTAGCAACTTTCATTCTGGTTGACGTTTCCTTCACCTCCAAAACTATGATTCTACTTACAAAGATCTATGATTCTACTTACAAAGATCCTACGATAAAGATGGACCACATCGCAACTCATGAGTTCCACCATCAAGATCCTAATTCCTATGAGAAAGATGGGCCGCATAGCAACACATGAATACCACAATATCAGTCCAAGCATTAAGAATAATCATACACATACATATAGGTATGCATGTGGGCAGTACCTTCTAATATTATCAGAAGCTTTGAGTTCGCCTACATTCAGCACCCCATTTTTGTTAATTACTTATCAAGATAACCCCTTCACTGTTCTTTAACTTCATCATGTTCAAGTAAAAGTGTTTGGTCCTCATCCTTGACACACTTGATATGTCCTTAGTTTTCCTTGTTAGCAAACTTGTATTCATCATTTCCTCTTTTTTCTCCTAGTTTATAGCACAGCTCCTCATATGCCTTACATCTACCTTCTCTTTGCTGCTTTCCAGATTTACTCTTGGCTCTTTTATTCTTACACTTCTCTATGTATTCTTGACTTCTATGACGTCCATCCTCCTTGATAGCCGTTTGTTTTGTGTGAGTCCACCAAGTGTTTTATTTTGACGTCTACTCACTCCACCTTCTCCAACCACATCATTTTCTAGCATTGGGATGCATTGTCATCTCCTTCCTCGTCCTGATAGCTTCTTTTGAATTTCATAAGGACCTTGCATTACCATTTCTGTTATGGAATATATGGTTTCTTAGTTTAATGCGTTTTTCATTAACGTTGCTAAAATATGTCTTATAGGTAAATTTATGTTTTGATTACACTTTTTTCCTTCCATATAGGACATTGTTCTGAAATTTGTATGTTGTTTATGCAGTTGTATGAAAACTTTTGCTTACCTTGGTTGTGTATGTCTTGATAAATATACATATTGGCGGTTTTCCTTCTCAGGGAAACATCATCCATCAAGGTCAACGACATTGCTTCTCAAATATCTAGTAATGTTGCAGCAGCTGTGGAGACTAACAATTTTTTGCCGGTGACTGCTAGAGCCGAAACACTTCACTACAACCGCAGGAATCCCAAACGTAGGCGGCTTATGGAGTCTGTACTGGTTGATACCTTAACTTCCAAGGGATCTGATGTATCTACTGCTTCCAGTAGCACCAGCATATTCATTGATCAAGGAATTATTTCCAGAGGGGAAAGCAAAGAAATGGCTGATGAGAACAAAGTTTCAACTGAATCCGATAAAGTATTTGATTCCTTATCGAAAATGGTTGCAGTGCTTTGTGAGCAGCGTCTGTTTCTTCCTTTGCTAAGAGCTTTTGAAATGTTCCTTCCTTCATGTTCTCTATTGCCCTTCATCCGCGCTCTTCAGGTATTTGACAAAACTGTAACCTATATATATATATATATATCTTCCCTCTTTGTGCACATACATGTGAGATTGGCATTAGTTTTTCTAAAAAGTGCACATCAAGTATGCTAGGTTGGCCTCTCTTTCTTTTGCTACCACTATGCTTCTAACATACAGGGCTACAGAGGTTTATATTTCAATCACACTTTACTTTTTGACATTTATTGCCATCTCTTTTCAGTCGCTTGTATTCAACGAATTACTGAAAAAAGAAAGTGTCCTCTTTCCATTGAAGGACACTGCATCATTATCTGTAAGGATTTCTGGAAATGGTGATATTTACATATCGAGAAGTAGCTAACTGCTGTCATTCTACGATTATAGGTAGAAGGAAACTAGGGATAGAACCTAGAGTACAAACATTTTGTGAAGAAAACAAGGATATGAGATACTAAATAGAACCTTGTCTTTTGTTTGCAGATGTTTATGAATACTTAATATTGTTGTGTGTAATTCTCTCATTGTGTGTCTACATGTGTGTGTGTATCCGTGCTTCTGAAGCAATTGGGCAGGCTGAAACCGGACGACTTTGTTTGAATGAGTTATAATTCATTCCCTTCATTTTTGTTTTCTTCAGTTTATGCAACACCTTCAAAATAATATCATTTGTGATGTGGATGAGATGTTCAGATGCGAGCCAAGTGAATCCAAGTCTGAGAATATATTTTTCAGCCTGGCTTCACTGTATTAACTTTGCCCTTTGATATTTAGTTATCACTCAGTAAATTGCATGTTGTGCAACCTTTTTTCTCTAATTTTTCTTCTAGAAGATTTAACTATCTCTGGTTTCCAGGCCTTCTCTCAGATGCGTCTATCAGAAGCTTCTGCTCATCTGGGATCTTTTTCTGCCAGAATCAAGGAAGAACATCCCAATGTACAAACAACTTCAGGTAGAGATGGATCCAATGGGACTTCATGGGTAAGTTCCATTGCTGAGAAAGCTTCTGACGCAATGCTTATGACTTGTCCATCACCTTATGAAAAAAGATGCTTATTGCAACTATTATCCGCCACTGATTTTGGTGATGGGGGATCTGCCATGTCACACTACCGGAGACTGTATTGGAAGATCAATCTAGCCGAGCCTCTTTTACGCAAAGATGATGTTCTACATCTAGGGAATGAATCATTGGATGATGCTTCCCTTTTAACTGCCTTAGAAACAAATGGACACTGGGAACAGGCACGCAATTGGACCAAGCAGTTGGAGGCTAGTGGTGGGCCTTGGAAGTCAGCTGTACACCATGTGACAGAAACACAGGTATTGTTCACGCCATTTTGAATCCAGCCTCAGTGTTCTGTTCTATAATATTGTGATCAAGGACTAACTTCCAACCTGGTTATGTCACAAGTGCTTCAGGTTGGACTTGTTACTCATGGTTTTCAATATGGTCCAATTATAAGATATGCAATTGTATCTCATGCTTTAACAGGAGGTCCTGTCCTGCCTACAGAACTTCTCCCCGGTGCATTTACAGTAGATATTCCTAGTGCAGGATCCATTTGCAAATAGTGTTATATGAGTAATTTGCTTTCTGATCTGAGATTCAGGCTTGTGTCATAAAATGAGACCTACTATCTGTTGAATTCTTGCACATTTAGAATTTCTTGTGCTACTATAATGATATCTCACTTGTACCTATCTAGTTACCTGCATATTTTAAAGAGGGAAAGGCCATAGAAGGACGAAAAGACATATTTGGCTATAAAATTTAATAGAAACTTAATTCTAGCTTGGCATACACTCTAGTCGAGGGTTGATGTATACGTTGGGCCCTATCTACCATATTGATCTTTTAGATCTGGTCTTGCAGCAGTTAAAAATGTTTTCATGTGCTTCTGCTGTCCTGTGTGTTATAAATCCTATCTGGCACTGTATCTGATGATGGACGAGATGCAGCTCTATATTGATTTCATTTTAACCTGGCTTAATGTGATAAATCTTCATGTGATTGTTTGGTCTATATCCACCAGCTTAAGTGTTTGTCTTACTGAGGTCCAATCATGATGTTACCAGAAGAATACTCTTCCTGTCCGCACATAAAGTGTGTTCATTAATATAGGCACAAATTAGGATATCTGAGTGTTAATGACTTCACCAAAGTACAGTGGTGGGTGACATGAAAGCTTTCACCTTTTCATATGTCTTGTAAATGGTTACATGGAAGCTGTGAACTCTGGTAAATTATTTCCAGTATTGAATATAAGATCAACCTTTAGTTTGTTGTTCTACTCGGATGTCCTTATTAGAAATACATGATCAAATTAAAAGTTCGTACTTGGGTGGAAATTTAGCTAGATGGGGAACAGAAAAGGGTTCATTGCAGTGCAACACAAGGTCAAACATGACTGAGACTCAAAAAAGACGACAAGGTCATTGAAAATGATGGGTAATACTCTAGATAACTATCATAAGAGATGTAATTATGTGACTCGTAGCTTCTGCAGAGGTAGATAACTATGACTATGTTTGTGATGCTAGTATTACTATCAAACACAGAAGCATTTTGACAGTGTTTTCCGCCATATAAAATAGGGTCTTAGACTTGGTACATCTTCTATATACCTTTCTGGATCTAACTTGATACATCCACGTCGTCTAGGTTGCTTATCTGTCAGGATATAATATGATGTGCGATGAAACTTTTTGCATCTTTTATTATTTGAAGCCAAATTCTATTCTATAGGCTGAATCAATGGTGGCAGAGTGGAAAGAGTTTCTTTGGGATGTCCCAGAAGAGAGGGTTGCTTTATGGGGCCACTGCCAGATGCTTTTTCTCAGATATTCTTTTCCTCCATTACAGGTATTTTTGTTCAAAGCCTGAACGTTAAACTGTTACATTAGATGTTTGTTAACGTCTGTATACAATATCTTTTAGTGGGTAACACATTTTAGTTTATACCAAATTCTGGTGTCTTTTGGCTTGTAGGCTGGATTATTCTTCCTGAAACATGCAGAAGCTGTGGACAAAGATCTTCCACCAAAGGAACTGCATGAATTGTTGCTTCTTTCTCTCCAGTGGTTGAGTGGAATGATAACTCAGTCTGCTCCGTATGTATTCATTTTACAAGGACATTTTACTAAATCTCAATATTCTAGTTTGTCATTCTAATATTTTGTTGTATTGTCCCAGAGTGTATCCATTGCATCTTCTGAGGGAGCTTGAAACTAGAGTATGGCTCCTCGCAGTAGAATCAGAAGCTCAGGTTAAGAGTGAAGGGGAGTTGACCCTAAACAGTCCCAGTAAGGAAGCTGGATATGGGAAGGGATCAAGTATTGTAGACCATACTGCAAGTATTGTATCAAAAATGGATAATCATATTAACACAATGAGGGCTAGGAATGAGCGCAATGATGCAAGGGACCATCATTTGGCACATCACAAAGGCCCTCATGTCTTAGATGCAGCCACTTCCACTAGCTCCGCAAGCACAAAGTCAAAACGTAGAGCCAAAGGCTTCGTGCCATCGAGAAAGACTTTTGTTGATGTTGAAAAAACTGCCGATTCTGAAGATACTTTTTTGCCTAATAATCTGAGAGGCGACTTAAAGTCAGCAGAAGAAAATTCTCGAATAGATTTATCTTTTTCGAGGTGGGAAGAAAGCATTGGACCTGCCGAGCTGGAGAGGGCTGTTCTTTCTCTGTTGGAGTTTGGACAAATAGCAGCTGCTAGGCAGCTCCAGCATAAGCTATCGCCATCTCATTGTCCATCAGAATTCGTTCTTGTGGATGCAGCTCTGAAGCTTGCAGGGATTGCAACTCCTAGCAACAAAGTAGCGATTTCCATGTTAGATGATGAAGTGCGTTCTGTAATTCAATCACGCAACCTGCCTACTGATAATCAATTCATTGTTCCAATGCAGGTACTTGTTCACAGTTTTCACTTTCTCCGAAAATTTGTACTTGGTAGTTTGTTGTTTTCATCTTTTTTCCTAGTGTTTATCCTTATCTCTTAGTCAATGAGATAATGCTATTAACCTTATTAGATACAGGTTTTTCCCCATGTAAATAGATATCAGAAAATTATTACCATTCTGTAGTTGAAACAGACTTGATTGCTTTTCATGCATGCGTGCATGCAACTGAATTAATAGTGAGATATGCTGAAGCTATTTGGAAATGTTATGTAAAATAGGTCCATATTTACTGGATATAGTTTTAGAGGGTCTTAACATGGGGTTAGAGGTTGGGAGATATCTTAACTTTTATTTCAAGCTCCTGTCTTTCATTACCTGAGGTTAAGGTATAAAAAACTCTTCTTTTGCTAATGTCATTCTTGGGGTTGGGATTTTGTATGTGAAGTTATAGATTGGTCAATTATCTTTGATATCCTTAAATTAGTTACCAGTATTTTAATGTAATATTCACTATTTATCTCTTCATGGTGATGCATCGTAGTGCCAGCTTGGGTGCATAATTCATCTTTATCTATTTCACCCTTCTTTTCCCCCTTTTTGTGTGTGTTTTTAGGCTGTTTGACTGGTGATGCATGCACATACAATTATATGATTCACTTTTACATTAATATTGACAAATGATATTGTGCAATTTTAGGTATTGGAGAGTTTGACGACCTTCTTCTTAGATGGTAGAGGGCGTGGATTGTGCAAAAGATTGATATCTGTTGTAAAAGCTGCAAATGTGTTGGGTCTTTCATTTTCGGAGGCATTTGATAAAAATCCCATCGAACTGCTACAACTGCTTTCTCTCAAAGCACAAGATTCATTTAAGGAAGCATATCTCCTAATTCAAACTCATCCCATGCCAGCTGCTAGTATAGCTCAGATTCTTGCAGAATCTTTTTTAAAGGTGCATCTGTTATGTACTTGCACATTCATGTCATGTTTTTCACCTTCTATTTCGAGTTAGAATATGCCTTTGCTAAGACGGTTATTTCGTATATGGATGGCCATGTGGGAGGTATGGCATGGTCAGTCAAGGGACTAGTCTCCTGAAGGATTTATCTCTTGATATTTGATGCCTCTTACCTTGTTTGTCCAAAACAAAATAAGAGATTGGCATATGTTAGGTTGATTTCTTCTTGAGAGAGAGAGAGAGATTCCTAGATTGGTAAATACTAGGTTGTATAACCGGATAACCTCTAATTACTCCCTCCCCAAAATAAATGTCCAGATTTCTATTTTAGTTTGTCCCAAAATAAGTGTCCATTCTCAAAAGTAGGTGTCTGTTTTCCAATTCTACCCTAATTATGAGATGGAGAAATTCATTACTCCCTCTATTATTAGGCGTACAATTGTCATTTAGTTAATTAAAAAGTTTAACATTAATATTTCTAAAACTGTGTGCCTAATTCTTTGTGGACATCTATTTTGGGATAGGGGGAGTAAGAAACATGAAGTGGCAATTTACAGGATGGAAATGGAGAGTTTATTATTATTCTTATCGTAGATGTCAATTTTCTCTTGTATGATTTAATTAGACGAGATTGGCCCGTAAGCTCTCTATTGTGTTTTCAGGGCTTATTAGCTGCACATCGCGGTGGATATATTGATTCTCAAAAGGAGGAAGGCCCTGCTCCTTTATTATGGAGATTTTCAGATTTCTTGAAGTGGGCCGAGCTTTGTCCATCAGAGTCAGAAATTGGTCACGCTTTGATGCGTTTAGTGATTACTGGACAGGAAATACCACATGCCTGCGAGGTACTGTTATCTTCTTGTAGGATGGTTTTTTTTCTGTAGAAATAGTCGTTTGATTAATTTGTTTATATGTTAATAGGGGAAAGTCAAATAAGAATCAAAAATATTTTGAGAACCCGGAAACCAACTATTTCATGTGTTATTCATGATGTAAAACCCTGAATATAATGTATGTTTATGAATATCTATCGCGTCATTCATTATGAGTAAAGCATGAATAGTTGGTTCCCAGATTTTCAAAATATTTACGGTTCTTATTTGAACCTTCCCCTATGTTAATAATATACAAATGATGAATTGAACTGCTCATGTAACCTCTCCAGCAAAGAAGACATTATCACTGGACTTTGATATCAATTTACATACTCTTTTCAGGTCGAGCTTCTTATTCTATCACACCACTTCTACAAATCATCCGCTTGCCTCGATGGTGTTGATGTTCTTGTGGCCCTCGCAGCCACCAGAGTAGATGCGTATGTTTCTGAAGGCGATTTCCCATGTTTGGCTCGCCTAATAACCGGAGTCGGAAATTTCCATGCCCTCAATTTCATACTCGGAATTCTTATCGAAAATGGCCAGCTGGAACTTCTTCTTCAGAAGTACTCAGCTGCTGCCGACACTCACACTGGCACTGCTCAGGCGGTCAGAGGATTCCGTATGGCTGTTCTAACATCACTGAAGCAATTCAACCCAAATGATCTCGATGCATTTGCCATGGTGTGTCATCTATCCATGAATAAATAGTTAACTTCAATACATCTTAATACTCCCTCCACCCCAAAGTAAATGTCCACAATGAAAAAACCTAGTTTTAGAAATTTGATTATTACACTTTTTAACGAACTAAATGGTAATTTTACCGAATTAAATGACCATGATGAAAAAGTCATAACTGTTTTATAAATGTATAATATTACACTTTTTAGTATATAATTTTATCTCTTATAATAAATGGTACAATTTAAAGGTAGGCAGTGCTTTTAAAAGTAGACACTTATTTTGGGGGGGGGAGGAAATAGAAATACATCTTAATGCTCCCTTCATACCAAAATAAATGTCCACAACAAAGAAGGCATGGAAATGTGTGATGATTACACTTGTAATCAACTAAAATGACAGTTTCGCCCTAATGAATTCTTCCTATTTATAATTAAGGGTAAAATTATGAAGTACGCGTTTACTCTCGAAAGTGGACACTTATTTTTGGCCAAACTAAAATAGAAATAGAAATGTGGACACTTATTTTGGGATGAAAGGAGTACATTTGAGCTGAACAACCATTAAATCATGTGTATTTACTTCCACTTCAGGTGTATAATCACTTCGATATGAAGCATGAAACAGCTTCCCTACTGGAATCACGAGCCGAGCAATCATATCACATGTGGTTCCTTCGTTACAACAAAGATCATACGGAAGACCTCTTAGAATCTATGCGATATTTTATTGAAGCAGCCGAAGTTCACTCCTCTATTGATGCCGGCAACAAAACCCGTGCTGCTTGTGCTAGTGCATCTCTTGTCTCCCTTCAGATACGGATGCCCGATTTCCAGTGGCTCAGTTTATCGGCTACCAACGCCCGACGAGCTCTCGTCGAACAATCCCGTTTTCAAGAGGCCCTTATTGTTGCTGAAGCATATGGCCTTAATCAGCCTGGTGAGTGGGCCTTGGTCCTCTGGAATCAGATGTTAAAACCCGAGCTGACCGAGCAGTTTGTAGCCGAGTTCGTAGCCGTCCTCCCTCTCCAGCCCACCATGCTTGCTGAAATAGCACGATTCTACCGTGCTGAGGTGGCGGCCCGTGGGGACCAGTCCCAATTCTCCGTTTGGCTGACAGGTGGCGGATTACCTGCCGAGTGGGCAAAGTATCTGGAGAGATCATTTAGATGTTTATTAAAGAGGACAAGGGATCTACGGCTGAGATTGCAGTTGGCAACAGTCGCAACAGGCTTCGGCGATGTGATCAACGGATGCTTGAAATCGTTAGATCGTGTCCCCGATAATGGTGGGCCACTTGTGCTGCGGAAAGGGCACGGTGGGGCCTACCTTCCTCTAATGTGATCATCGATCTCTTCAATTTGTTGTGTGAAGTGGCAAAAAAAAACTTATACAGAAAAGAAGGTTAGTTGATTAGATTTGAAGGAGTTTTGATACATCACTGGTTTTCGTTTTTGACCTTTTCTCGAGCACAAGGGGCGGAATTCGCTCATGCGGAAAACACGGATATGGGCCATAGAGCAAAAAATCATTGTGATGATTCATTTTTGTCGATTTGATTTGTGTTTGGTTGGTGTAATTCTTTTGTAAGAAATGTACATTTAGTGTGTCAAACGTGTAGATGTGTGTGTTGAACAAGTTTTAAAATGGTGGGTGCCCTTTGCCTTTGTCACCTTTCCCTTCTAAATCAATACAAAGTGTCGAATATACCAATTTTTATTCATCCATAATTTTTCAGAGTATCTTTATAATGTATTTAAAATAAAGAACTTGAAATCTCAAAAAAAAATTATTCACCTTCAAGTTAGTGATTTCAACATTACTTATAGAGTGATTTAAAAAAATTAACGAACCTTTTCATTTTGAATGACTAAGTGTCTTGAGCTATTTTGTTGAATGAAAAAAAAATATTGAACATTTTCATTTTGAATTATCGTCTCTGAACATTTCTTAAATAAAAATCATAAAATTGGTTACTTACATCCTTTTAATTCAAAAAATAAAAAACTACTTGTAACCGGAGGTGTGGGAAATGGACAACGATGTGAGAATGTCATTGTGCGAAAAGGTTTGAATGAAGTAGGATTTGGGAAGTGGGAATGATAAATTGTTTTTAACTTTAGAACCTTTCTAGTCGGGTTTTAGATAGCTTTTTCAGGTTAAAAAAGATATTAGTAACCAGTTTTTAAATTTTTGATGGTTTATTTATTCAAAAAAGTTCGATGAGAAAGTTAATGGTTTTTTCATTTACATAAAAGTTAGAGATTTAATCATTCAAAATGAAAAAGCTTATTGGGTTTTTCTGGACTTTTCCCTTACTTATAATATTAAAATATTTTATAAATTTTATCATTGCGATACATTTTTTTAATAACTTTTTAAAAAGTAATAATAACACAAGCTTATCGGTGGTAAAAATGAATAAAAAAATCATTTCTTTCTTCCCACATCAAGTTCTAAGACAAGTCTTTGAACTTGATGTTTTCTTTATTTTAGAACAAAGTGGAGAATTTATTAGAGCAAAATACAAAACAAAATCTTTATTATTTTTTTATTTTAGAAAATATGTTGGAGATGTAACAAATTTTTAATGAATTTGATTTCACAGACCTAAGAGTCGGTTGGAGGAACAACTGCACTTCCATTCACGATTGTTTATGGAAACTGTGTATTTGAAGGCATCAAGGAAATCGACAAGTACTTCAAGGAAGAACATGTGGTAAACGTTCCGATGAAGAGGAACAAATGAATATTGCTAACGAGCATTCGAGGTCAAGTGAATTTTTAACACAAACACAACATAATCAATAGATAGGGGAAGCCCATTTTGTTCGCATTGCATATTTCAATGACATGCCGTAGAGTGTTTATACGTAGACATCCATCTAGATATAAATCGAGACAAATAGCCAATCAAGTGATCTGTCTGTCAACGATAAAACCAACTCCAACTCACATTAAAAAACATTTAAAATATGTTTAATAATAAAATAATATATATTTGTTATTATACTAGTTTATTAATATATTAAACTATTATATATATATATGTATATATATGTATGTATATATATATATATGTATGTATATATATATATATATATATGTATGTATATATATATATATATGTATGTATATATATATATATATATATGTATGTATATGTGTGTATGTATGTATGTATATGTGTGTATGTATGTATATGTGTGTGTGTGGAGGTTCAAACGAAAACACCTTCATTTTAGGAGAACATGAGAACATCTTTATCACATGTGATAATACACTTGAAGGGACTTGGTGGTGTATGGATGTCGTGCCTTACAACTTAGGTCGCACCAAAGGTCATCTACGTCTATGATTTAGTATCACATATGATGGTCTTGATAGATTATAGTATCACATTAATAACACAATTATCATATGCGATAGTGCATGTGAGGGGACTTAGTGGTGTAAAGGCGACTTGGCCTACAACCTAGATCGCGTGACAAGTCGTCCACGTCTCTGATTTAGTATCATATGTGTATCATATGTATTGGAATAATAGTATCACATGTGATTGTTTATGGTAAAAGAATATTCTCGCGTTTGCGTAAAATGAAGGTGTTCTCGTTTGAACCCTTCCTTAAACCCGACACTACACTAAAAAAGTTGGGAGGTTCAAAATGTTGCCTTATATTTGAAGGTCAATAAAACAGGCATATATATATAGAGGGAAGGGTTCAAACGAGAACACGCTCACTTGTTGTTATAGGCACTCTAGAGACGGTGGCATCTGCCCTTTTCTTTTACATGTCATTTTCTATGCTTTCATACCCAACATTTTCCTCACAAGTATGGGTTGTGGATTCAGAAGCTATTCGGTAAGACGGATTTCACGACGACTTTGCCGAATTATGTCTTGGATGGTTGGGATTGGGTATGTTAAAAATAGCGGTATTCATCATCCTAAAGAATGTGCCCAAATTTCATTTACGCTTATCTGAAGGGCAGGAGGACGATTGGTAACTCCGAAAATTAAAAATGTAGTTTCAAATCTTAGCATTTGTGTTGATAAAAGAGAAGACTTGTAATAACAATCCTACATACATTCTGTTAAAGAAAATTGCAGACAATAACAAAAATGGCAAATTATTACAGATCGGTATGGAAGTAATGAGATTTTGCATATTATTACTGACCTGCTGCCTGCTGCTGGTACATAAAAGCTCAAAGAATAAGAACTAATCTTGCTTTGGGGCCTCAGAACCTTGATGGTGTCGTTCTGCAAGAATTCGCTTTGTTCTCTCCAAGACACCAAAAAAGATCGAACCTCCAATCCCTATCCACAGCACTCGTGGCCCGATGCCCTACAACATTCACCAGGTACCATTTTTGAAAAAAAGTCTATCATGATCAATGTTTGTCCATCAACGAGAAGTCTATAATATGGTTTGATGGTGAAAAAATAAAAATTAAATCATTTGACTCGAATACGTATCATCCATTTTTGTGTAATGACAGACAATAGATTTAGTTTGTCTAGATCCAACTTTCAAAAGTAAGTACGTGCTTTCCAATTCTACCCTTTATTAGAAGATGAAGAATTTTATTACTTCCTCTATTATGAAGGGTAAAATTGTCATTATAGTTGATTAAAAAATGCAGTAATTACAGATATCTAAAAGTGTCTCTTTTTAATTGTGAACATTTTTTGGGGATGAAGTCCAATATTCATGGAATGACATAATAAAAAATTGTTACAATTTTATGGGACAGAGTAGTTTAAAAGACTTCCCTTCCTGAATTATTATGTTGACGGGTACTTTAGTCATTCAATTATTAGTCAAATACTTCTATAAATCCGTTTGCAGAGGTCAAACTATTGCAATTTCAAAGGCGGGAATGGATTTTCTTAATGTTTTCAAGAGGATGAAAGGATCACATACCTTCAAAAGGGCAGGAGGTCCTTCTTCTCTCAAGATTGTCTGAACACAATCAGCTATCCCTTTATACTGGTTTGCTGATCCCTGAATCATCAGCCTAGTTTTTATTACATCAAGGGGAGTCGTTATAGCTCCAGTAAGGGCACCTGCGGAAAAACAGAAAACATAACTGTTGTAACGGGACGAGCAATTGAATAATAAAGTTAAGTTCAAGTGAAAAGATTTCGGTATTTGACAACTTCCTATTCAAGAAAGTTACCTATTTGCCCATTGTATTCATTACAACCACAGCATTCCGTCATATTAATACAGGGCATTTTAGACATTTCACAAACAGTTTACACATTTATGAAACAATGTGATTACAAGTTCCAAATAAGAGTGTATCATATGTATGATGGAAGTGTCATTCTTATTGACCAAAAATAATACTTTTTGGCTTGGCTAGATTAATCAGTTCCCACTGGATACATTTGGTTTGGTTATTTTTGCAAAAACAAAAAGTTTGTGTCAAAAAATCAAGTATAATGGCAGGAGAAGTTAATAGCTTTATTGTTTATGAACCCACAAAACAATGTGGACCGGCCAGCAGTCTTATCTAGTAGGGAAATTCTTATTACTACATACTCATTCACCCACAAACACACACTACACCAGGCACGGATGGGTTCTTCTGCACATCTTTTCTCTCTTAAATATACTACATATTGTGGCACGTGATAGTCAAGTCAGCTGTTTTCTTCAGTGTCTTTCCACACATAGTTAAAAGTGTGAACCCTCACGAAGCCATAAGATATTGCTACAACATGTATGAAGATCGAATCGTATATAAACATGTGAAATTCCTTCTCTAAGATAATTAAATAAAATAATAACAGGATGTTGATTGTGAGAAAATATAATGGTTGATCGCAAGAGCTGTGATAAAACATGACACTCTTGATAAGCATGAGGAAAAAGAAGTGAAGCATATAGTTACCAGCAAAAGCACCAATTGCAGCATTCTCAGGATCATTGAGGTCTCTACGTGCCTGGTGGAAGTTCAAAAGCAGTCAAAACTTTGCGTATAGCGCAGAATCATATTTGGATTATCATGATACAAGAGATGGATTCTGTAAAAAAGCATTAGATTGAGAGAAGTGGAAAGATGCAATGGAGGGTCCTTGCGGTTAAGAAAGAAAACTGGATGAGAGAGAATTAAGGAGTTGCAAATCGTGGGACATAATCGAGACTGGTAAAACTACCACCGTGCTCTTCCTGGATTAAAAATGGAAGGTTAATTAAAGCCGTTGGATGAAAGTGGATGGGATGGATGAGATTGGTCCTCAGGATTCTTAACATTTTTGGGGTTCTCGTTTGATCTTAACAAGTGGAGATAATCCTATAACACAAAAAGGCTATTAAAACTGCTATGTAAACAGTATTGTGACAGCATTATAAAAAAGACAATCCAACAAAATGTACAATTATGTATAACAATTTAGTAATCTAGTTGATTTCAGAATCTTGACATGTTTCAAATCCCCGATTTACAATGAATGGATTCCAATAAATATCAGAAAAACCATCATATTCTATGAAGCAAATCAAGGATAGTAAATATGCATTTGAGCTTCATAAGACAGAAATACTCACAGCCAACTTATAGCCAATCCGAAGTTGCTCATATATACAGAACTGGATAGCGTCAAAAGGTAAATCTCGTAGAAGAAAAGATCCATATCCCTAGAGTCATTTGCGTGTGAAGGTTAGAACTCATGAAAATATGCTGCAAACAGTTACCAAGGGATGCAAAATCGATAACAGCTCCACCATACATTAAAATTGCAACCTTTCCTTTTCGGGATGGCCCATGAAAACTGCAACATTTTCTTTTTCAGAAAGATTACAAGTTAAAGTTGTTTATCTATCCAGTATCATCATTAAAATAAAGTGAAGGTACTGATTTGGGTCTACAAAATTTTCTTTATTTGTCTTCATTGAATGATATTTGACAAATAGTCAAACAATGCAATTTTCATGTGACAAAGGAGTGTCTAATGATACAATTCAAGAAAGGTACAACAGAGCTTTAGTTATAAAAATATATTGTGCATATGCCCATAAGCTTCCAACAAAGATTCATACCGCATATAGGCCTTTAAAACCCTCCTTGGAAACAATAAGTCGGACAGCATCAGGAGCTGAAGCAAATTGACGAGTCTGCATTCTTTGCTTTACAACCTGTGTGAAAGATTAAAGTAAACAAGCTGAAGGAGGTACATGGACCCTAGCAAAGCAGTATATGAAATACGGAAATGTTCAAGAAAATCTTTGTACCTCTGTTGGAACACGCACAAGAGATGCGGCAACTCCTCCAATTGCACCTGCAGTCTACAAAACATTTCACAAACTTTTGAAGTAGAAAGAAAAAGGCTTATGTAAAGGCATCATAAACCTAAGAACCAATAAAATAAATTCAGTTAATAAGGCTTATTTTCAAATTTCCATCCAGGATACCTCTTCGTGGAACGCATATGTGTCAGTAACTCGGTATCTCCAAATTCCACTTATGTTCATTTGTTGGCACCTCATTTGTTATATCTCACGAAATGTAGATGGAAAAGACTTACCAGATGTGCAACAGCACTAAGATTGTCAGGAAGTATCTTCAACAGTTTCTGTTTTGCAGGTTCATAGACGCCAACAAACAAGGCAGAAGCCCTATATATAAAATAGAATAGTGTTGACCGACGAACAGAGACATAAGCATCCAAAACAATAAGAAAAATAAAATAAACTGTCTAAAAAGATGAGTTTAATGCATATCTTGCTAGTACCCCTGTATTCAAGTGAAGGGAGCTTATTATCAATCTCAACTTTGAATCAAAATTAAAAGTCAATCTTGAGCTGCAAAAACAGAGTGGAAAGACACCAGAATAGGATATCCTTACGGTAAAACACCGACAAGATTTCCAGCCAATCCAGAATATAGCCCCTGGAGGACAATCTTTCCTCCACCATGAGCTGCCTACAGTGAAAAACAATGTTGATCGAAGTTAACTTTTACATTCTGGATATGTTAGCATGCAATTACACAAAATAAAGCTAAGGAGTTGTTTGGTTGGGTTTCCATCAAGTCCTATATGAATAAAGTTGTTTGTATGGATTAATTTGTCTGTGTAGATTGGCGAAGGAGCGTGTTTTTTAAATTGGGGGGAAGGTTTGGAATAAAAGCCATGGCTTGACAAGAATAATTTGAATACATTTAAGGCTTCAAAAAACATGTCACTTATTTAAGTATAAAACCACTTGCTATATGGAGCAGATGCAAATATCAAGTATGAAAGTTACTCAAAACAGTCATATTGAAGAAACTGCCACCACAATTTAGTAGAACGTTCGCAGGTAGACTCTAGCCAACATTTCACACCTGGTTAAGATGCAATACTCTATACAACATAGTCAGGACGTTGACCCTACCTGCAGTCTTGTCTTTATCGTGTCGATTGGGTATAAAGCTGTTTCAACAACAACTCCAGCTGTACCTCCCGCTATACAACCCTCTGCAATATGACAAGAATAATTAGAACAACAAACTTACACATACTTTTCAACTCATAGCAAGAACTTTTCATGAAGTATTTACAAGGATAATTACCCACTTCACGCGTCCTCTTCCTTAATCTTTTGATGGCTTTACCAGCCATAAAACATATATTTAGAAAATATAAACCTTTAAAGTTGTTAGCTTATTAACAATTAATTTTGTTGGAAGTATGTGTAATAAGTCTTTCAAAGTCTGGAAAGATGATAAATGATGTGGAATGGAATGGAAGGAATGCAGGCTAGGTACTAGAAATTTCAATTTACCATAACAGAAGAAAGCACGATTCATGGATCAGATTGAATATGCAGAGACTAAAATTTGCAATAACTACTTGCTAATAAGCTATGGTTTGACTGACAAAATTGAAAATAATTTAAGAAAAAGTTCAACAAAACTAAATAACATTAGAAGAAATATTTAAGCAATACCAAATAAGGTTCGCAAGAAATCAAATGGCTTTTCTTCCCCTATGCTGACTGATGCAAAAGACTTTTTCGGAATCAACTGCAACCTTTGTGCTTTCCCCTTTGATACATCTGCAAAACCACACACCTGCTCAAACAAGAACCACGAAATAAATGGCGCTAACCAAGACAAAACAAAAAATAGATAATTGAACTTGAAGAACTTGATGAGAGGTAATCAATATAGATATTCATATCTTTGTGACAAGTAAAGTGACTTGTACAAAAATCAACAATAGTTCAAATGAACTTGCTTAACCTTGCAACAAAATCCAAAATCAAGTTCAGTGGATTACCTTGCATTTCACTATATATTTAAATCTTAACCTCACTTCTAAATTCTTGAATATTATATAGAACCGTGCTATTATATTGAAATTTTGAAATAGTGCAATTTCATACGAATCGCAAGAAAATTACTTTCCTTGTTACATAAACTCCTTAAAATCCTGAATGAAATAAGTGGATTGGTCTAAAGAAAAAGATCTTAGTATATAAATAAATGATACTTCATAGAGGATGATAAAGTTTGATTACTCGTAAACACATTATTATACTAAGGGGGTGTTTGGTTAGAGGTATTAAGCAGTCATTAATGGCATTGAATATAAAAAACTGTTTGGTTTTATATAATATAATGAACTCATTCACCCACAGACAAGCCCAAATTTTCATTCTAGATCAAACGGGGGAATGAAAATTCATTCCCATCAACCAAACAGCCCCTAAGGTTTCATATATCCCTGAAAATGTAACTTACAGAAGGTAATAACATGACATCCATTTGTCACTGTGATTTCACAAAATTGTGAGCAGTAAACTTGATGGCATTGTTTTGCACCATCCGAATACAATATCCAATTTTCTTTAGTTCAAAACAAGTCACCCATTTACATTAAAATTGGTTTAAAGGATGATTTCATTAAAGCGGAAGTTTTGATATATTACACTGGGCTAAAAAATGCAAAAAAAGTTCTTTCGGGATGTCCCAACTTGATTGCAATGGTTTTCTTCCTGACAAAATAAAGCTAAATTTTCCTTTTTGGCCAATAGAGACTACCAAAAAGATACAAGTAGTATTGACTTTGATCACAAATCTCCTACTTCATCCCTGTTTTAAATAATGAAATACTTTTATTGAATTCTAAGGCTAATCTGATTTTACAAAAAAAATCAACATTTAGGGGCCGTTTACCTATAAACACTTACCTGGTAAGTGCTTATCGGTAAAATTCAACACTATCGTTTACTTACCGAGTAAGATTTGAGTCCACCAAAACGACATTATATGTAATAATTTATCCGGTAAGCGCTAACCGTGGTAAGAGTACCTAAACTCTAAACCCTAGACTTATAACATGACATCCCCAACCCCTGCTTTGAGTGGTTTGATTTAGTATATAGCATGACGTCACTATTAACGAATTATAGTTATTTTTATTTAATCCATGCATACTGTCAACTTACAAATTTGTCCTACAATTTCGTCTATGGAATTCCATCACAAAACTAATAGAATGACTGAACTTAGTTGTCTCAAGTTGGAAAGGTTGTTTGATTGGTTACAGTTTTTCTAATGCTACCTTTTCTAGTAATTAACCCTAAACCATCTGTCGATTCAAACCATGCCTTTTCTGCGACGGAGGTGAATTCTGAATTCTGAATTCAAAATTGAACTCCGTTTCACAACAGATAGTATTCCACTCCCACCATGAATCACAAAATTAGTTCAAAATGATTAAAGGAAACTATCGGCCTGGTTTTTTTACTAAAATTAAGATATTTTGAGAAATTAATGTTACCTGATGAAGACATTGATGCGTTCTTCGTGTCAGTAGCTAGCGTAAGAGGACCCATCGAGCTCCAATATGAGAATTATCCACCTGAAGGCTAAAAAACCCAGAATTATGAGCATTGAGGTTAACAACGAAGTAGTTGAAATATAAGGAAAGAACACTACGAACTGACAAATTCAAGAGGATGTAAGTATACATTGATAGTAGGGGTAGATGGGGGAACGCTACACAGAGGATGCTATGTAACTCCTTCTGGAGGAAGTCGTATCTCTACGGATAGAGATGTGTATGAGCAGTGGCAGCAGCCATTGACAATTGTCATTTGCTGTGTCAATAAACTTGGGCCTGATCCTGGACCTTGGGATAGGCTGGGCTTCAAAGATGACTCTTGTTAGATTAGTTTTTTTTTCTTTCTTTTTTTCAATGAGTTTGGTATATGAGACGGGAATCACGGGATAGAAAGGAAAAAACTCAATTTCATGTTTAATAGTAGAAGGGTATTCGTACAATGTAGTAGTGATATAATTTAAATTTTAATATTTTATTTTATTTTTTATCTCAGTCACTGTTATAGTATGGTTTTGTATTATTTTGAAAAAATAATGATAGTGATATGGGATAGGAATAAGAACTCGGATGACGTGTAATAAAAAAAAAAGATTTTTCTTGTTCTAAGATGGGACAAGAATAAGACAGTATCTTAAATATTACTAATTAATCCTCGTTTGATATATAATTTTAATATGATATTTGTTTTAGTGGTCACCATGTTAGTAGCAAATGCCACCACCGGTAGCCATCGTCGGCCACCTCCAACTCCTCCACTACAACAATCTCAACTACAACACCATCGAGGCATCGACCACTAATCACCTCCACAACCACCGTCGCCCACCGACCACCACTATCCATCGCCGCCACCACTATTATCCTTGCCCACCTCCACCTTCTCCTCTAATACCACAACCTCCTCCACAACCTCCTCCACTACCTCCACAACCATTGTCGCTTGTCGACCACCACCATGAGCCACCTCATCTCAACATAACCACCACCATTGGCTACCATTACCAAATTCGACCATCACCATTGACTACTACTACAGCTATCTACCATCTTCATATTCTCCACAACCACCGTCGGTCGCTGACCACCACCTTCCATCTCCAACACCACTAGTATCGTCGACTACCTCCATCATAACCACCACCTCCTCCACAACTACCTCCTCCACCATTGTCGACCGCCATCATCACCACTGTCTACCATCTCCACGTCCTCCACACCACCATCGTTCATTAATCACCAATGTCTCTACCTCCACAACCATTGTTATTACAACAATCTTCATCATGTCTTTGCCAACTGATAAAGATATTCTAAACCAAATAAAACATAATGTATCCTATATATGAACGTGGATTTTTTTCAAATTACCATAAATTATATCAAATTTTTCATTCAAATTTGGTACTGTTATATATGTATGTATTTATGTGTATAAAAACTATGTAACAAATGTTTATAAATTAAATTATCTACTTTATTTGTGTTGATCATAGCTATTATATGATATATAAAATCATCAAATAACTTTTGGGGTAATTTGTCTAGTTCTGTCATGTCTAATTTTAGTCGTACCAAACACCAGACAAACATTTGTTATGTCTAGTTCTATCCGGTAGTTGTGGATATTTTACTACTTTTAAAATTCAACACAAAAATAGACCTTGACACAAGTATACACCTTAATCTACTATCATTTTGTAACAAGTAGTAACAGTAAAATACCGAATATCGTTTCCACAGAGATAGTAAAAGTCCATTCTTTAAAAATTGATTTTAGATGGCGAATTCGAAGAAATCTTTTGGTTGGTTGGCTAATTATCAATTACTAAAAATCAGTTGTAAAAGGAAGCAAATGGTGTAAAGGCATGTTAGGACTAAAACAAACGATCCATTGGAAAGATATTGCAACATTTTCTGGACAGTCCAGTAGTACCATTAAATTAGTGTAATTGTCATGTCACATATATCCAGCTATCGAGTTAGACGACCTCCTACAAGTACACACAGGTCGGCGTACTATTTGATACGACATAATTTATGTGTAAACGTCGTGAATCATAGTACAACATTGTGTTACCATCCTACACCGTATAAGCATAACACTTGTTAGGTACTAAGACTATTTTTAATCTTCTTATATCATCTTGGGTTATCGTATTTATTTTAACTCTGAAAGTTAATGCATTTTCATACATAAAAACCAATCGTCATTTAATTAAATGTAGCCTTTAATGAAATATCAATAACCCAAAATAAATAGTCATCTAAAAATGTCATATTAAAAACACCTTCTCAATTTCACATCAGTCTCGGTCTCAAATTTTCATTACACCCGAAGCTAAGGCGATTAACACATCATCGTTTGGTTTTTTCTTGCAAAAGACATGAATGCTAAAAAGTAAATAACGGAGATGGGAAAATAAATAAAGTAAATGTGCATATATTTACTTAAAGAAGGAAACTTGTCGCACAAGGTACGTATTTCTAGAATAAATAAAAAGAGAAAGTAAAGAACCGTAAGCTAGACAGAGAAGGAAAAATTAAGGGTTTAAGTTACAAATTATGCAACTAAAAATGAGATGATGTACAAAAAAATGAGACAAGCCTTCCTTAAATAGCCTCCCATATGCTTAGAACTAGTGAGGGCTAAAAACCGGTCCCAAGATTTCTCATAACCGGTCATAATCGATCCCGGTCCCGCTCGAAAAAGTCGAGCCCGGTCAAGCTTTATTTTAACCTGTTATAGGCCGCCGGTCATTAAAAAATATTTATTATTATTTTTTATGATATATATTTTTAATACATTATAAAATTTGTAATTGGATCACTCAACTACAATTTAAAAAATGCGTTTTATTATAATTAAAATTACATTGTCTTACAAAATACAACGAGAAACTGATAATTGTGAACGTTTTTTTGCGTTTTTTTGTAAATCGAGAACTTGGTATGTAAATCCCAAAACCAAGACACTTATGTATAGTGTTTAAAAAGCAAAAAAATGGTCAAAAGTGCCTGGAGGTCCCAGGTTCAGATCAAAAAAGGAGCAAAAATCCTCTTGTGGCCACGGAGGTTCAAATGCTGTAACTCCAGGCTATCTGCAAAACATGTAGTGGCCCTGGGATTAGTCGGCTCGCATAGCGGGTTAGACATCTAGGTTAATCAAAAAATATACAAAAAAGGGGCCAAAAAACGGCTACATTTAAAAAAAATAGTTACATTTTTTAAAAATCGGGCTAGGCCGGGCCAGTCCATAACCGTTCCCGGTCCCACAAAACACCTCAAATCCATAATCGGTCCCAGATTTCGGTCCTGTAACCGGTCATCGGCTGGTCCCGGGCCGATTTGGCCATCACTACTTAGAACCCAAGTTTGAAGAAAAGGGGTTCAAGAAGAATTAGCCCAAAGCTTAAAATTCTGCTCCAAAATTTGGACCAAATATGGCCTAAAAAATAGTTCCAAGCCCACTGTTTAATCCTGCAGCATTGTTTTTTCAAAGTCTTGTAAGAATTCAAATGATTTTGTCAGATTTTTTTTTGGCTAAATAAGCATTTAAAGTGCAAGGAATTCGTATATCATATACAAAACTCCATAAATTTAGAAACATAGAAAAAATAAGAAGCATTCGATTAGAAACGTAAAATAAGCCTAAAAGAGTGTAAAAATGATGTAAACATGGTTAATAAATTAACACTCATCACCACTTCTATCATGTATAGCCATTTATGCATATTAAACGCTACCTTAATGATGTATTTGGTATGAGGTAAGGGTGTTAACGAGTGGAGTTATGGGTTATTCGTGCTAAAAAATTACTAGAAAGGTATCCGTGCAATGCAACGAAATATCTTAATTTTAATGTTTCATTTTATTCATTTTCTTTTTCGATATAACACGGTTATGTGGTTTTTAGAAAACGATAGTATTTTTATTTTTGAATGAAATATAAATTAAAAAAAAAATATTGATATTAATATTAAATTAATTATTTAAAAGTTTTAGGTTTTCATATAATTTCTTTAATTCAATTTTTTATTATAATTTAATTTAGATTTAAAAATAAAGTTATTTATTTCTATTAAATAATATAATTTTTATAAGGATGACAATAAAATATTATGTAAAAACTCAATGATTATCCTAATTATATTTTAAGTTTTTATATTTTAAAAGAATATGTTTATTCTGTACTTGATTATGTTTATCTGCAGTTAGTTACACGAATTCAAAAAATAGAGCTTTAATAAGTTGTACTTACGCATGATTTACTTGTAACATTGAAGTTTAAATAATAAACATCAATAAACAGTACTTCATACATAAAAAATGGTTTTTAAAAGTTTTTATCAAATTCTTTATAATATAGTATAGATTACCTGGAGCTTAAGTCAAACTCGAATAACGCTTTCACATTAGGGGTTGAGCTCGAGGTTGAATGTTTTTCAATATTCGAACTCGAGTTTGATACTCGTTTACATGCTCGAATTCGATATAAATCAGCTTGCTTTTTGCTTCAACCTCAATAATTTTAAAGGAAAAGTTTAAAAAAAAAACCAACGAACTTTTTCATTTTGAATGATTAAATCATTAAAACATTTTTAAATGAATAAGCCTTTACACTTTTTCATTTTGAATGATTAAGTCCCTTAATTTTTTTTAATTAAAGATCATTAAACTTTCTTATTTTGAATAATTAAGCCACTGAATATTTTTTTTAAATAAACCATCGACCTTTTAAAAAATGGTTACTTATAGTATTTTAACCAAAAAATACCATCTATAATCAGCTAAAAAACACAAATAAGTTTTACCCTTCCTAAATCTTAATGTCATTTAAGCCCCTGGCACCAAACGACATGCTCTCATCGCCCCCATCGTTGTTTGTTATCCCTACTGTTCATCACCACCTATCTCCCTCTTTCGTATATGTTCGTTTTGCTTTTCGACTCTTCCTCTTTCACAAATTATAATAGACTTCGTATAAGATAGATCAAAAGAGAAAATATATCGAAAAACAAAAATTGATTTCAAAAAGAGAAAAATAAATGGTGGAGGGCCAGTGACGATGATGGACGATGATAAAGAGCGTAGGACGATGGGCTGGCGAAGGGCACGATGACGTTGGATGTGAGGTATACGAATGACGTAAGATTTGAGAACAGTGAAAATGATTTAGGTTTTTTTTTAAACTTTAAAGCATTCATAGTCGTATAGATAGTTTTTTGAGGGTTAAAATGATATTGGTAAGCAATTTTTAAAAGTTTGATCGTTTATTTATCAACAAAAGTGTTCAGGTACTTTGATCATTTAAATAGAGAAAATTCATGGTTTATTCATTTAAAAAACTCACGAATTTAAGGGGCCATTTACCTATGGTAAGCGCTTACCATTAAGAGTCAACACTCTAATTCATTTTACTGGGTAAATTTGTAGTATATCAAAATGATACCCTATGCAACAATTGACCCGATAAGCGCTTATCCGGGTAAGAATCGTGATTCTCACTTACCGAGTAAAACTCTTCATTTTATATTGCTCTTACCATAAGATTTTTGATCCTTGTCATGTTCATCCGATAAGGAATATTACCCAGTAAACACTTATCGGGTAAACGTTTAGTAAACGATCCCTAAGTGTATGTAAAAAAGGATTTATCAGAGTATGTTGATGATCTTAATCATGAAACGATGATATATTTGTTGAATTTTTTTTTAATTAACCTGGATATCCAACCCGTTATACGAGCCGACTAATCCCAGGACGACCACCTGCTTTGCAGATGGCCCGGAGTCACCGCGTTTAAACCTCCATGGCCACAAGGGGATTTTTATTCCTCGTTGGATTTGAACCTGAGACCTCCTGATACTTTTGACCTTTAGAGCCAAATTCAAATCAATCAGACACCATCCTTATGGTTATATTTGTTGAACTTTAGTACTTCGGTATCTTTAGCTCTTTTATGGTTATCAAGAAAACACATATTTGAAGCAAACGTTGTTGCTTTTTAAAATAAATTAAAAGTTGAAGGGGCTCATATGCACCATGATGAAAGAACAGGGGTATAAACTGCGTAAGAATAGAGTGAAAACCTAATGGCAATTTCGTAATTCTAGTAATAACTTCGCTATAAAAACAAACGCGTAGTCAATTTTCCAAACCCTAGCAATAGATCGGTGTGTGTTTTTGTGCCTGTGAGCAGCGGCGGCGGAGGATTTGGAGAGGAGGCGAAAATGGTGAAGTTCTTGAAACCTCACAAGGCGGTGGTGGTGCTCAATGGCCGTTTTGCTGGCCGGAAGGCGGTGATCGTCAGGCAATTCGACGAAGGCACTCGTGATCGTCCCTACGGCCACTGCCTCGTCGCCGGGATCGCCAAGTATCCGAAGAAGGTGATTCGTAAGGATTCGGCAAAGAAGACGGCCAAGAAGTCTCGTGTGAAGGCATTCATCAAGCTCGTGAACTACAACCACATCATGCCGACGAGGTACACGCTTGACGTAGATCTGAAGGACGTCGTAACGGTCGATACGCTTCAGTCGCGGGACAAGAAGGTGACGGCTTGCAAGGAGACCAAAGCACGGTTCGAGGAACGATTCAAGTCAGGGAAAAACCGTTGGTTCTTCTCGAAGCTCCGTTTCTGAGGATAAGATGAGTTTTTTCAAGTTTCAATTTTGTTATGTTCGTCAATATGATGATAGACTCTGATTACTGGTTCTTCACATTTATTTTTGATATGTTTCATTCAAGTAATTTCTGTTGCAATTGGAATGAATTTCAGAGGATTAATCGGATGAACTTCATGTTTGTGACCGAATTTGTTCGTTTGATGCATAATCTGCAACCGATGACCAATCCATAGTAGTTAAATATCTGATTTCCTAATAGGCCATCGAAATGTCAAAAGAAATTAGGTGCACGCTTCTGAAAGTTGCTCAATAACTATGAGTCTATAGGAATCTAATCGAATATGCATCAATGAGGAGGGAGCTATGCAATTTTCTTGGATATGTTGGGTCGGAATTTATTATCATCTAACTTTTAGATAACATAAAGTGGTAACAACTAATGAAATTTGGGGATAAATATTGATATTGTTTTAGCCCGTAGATCCCAACATATTTGCAAGTGCTTATAGTTTGTGTGGATTTAGGAAGGTTCCCAATGTTTGCTTGCTTATTGAAGTGGACATAGATCTGATGGCATACAGCCAGTATGTTGATGAACCCTTGGCACTTTTTGGCTGGCCACAAACACAACCCTTATATCTTGCATCTGAATCTCCCCAATCAATGGCTAATGAACCATTGGCACTTTTTGGCTGGCCACAAACACAACCACTTGGTTTCTTTCTTGTGTAGCCTTTTGTCAGTGGTAAATTGATGCAAGTTTTACCATGGTTGAGGAGACTTGATCAAATGTGTGGAATATGAATATCATTTTGATGGACACATTTGTCTTTTTTCATCATTTTCTTCAAATACCATTTGCTTGGTTTCACTTCTTGCCCTCTCAATTTCACCCTCTAGTTGTTGTCCTCTCGTTTCGTCCAGAAAACACACACCTCCATTTTTGCTACCTGTGAAACAAGAGATTCTATTGTTAATTGTTGCAGCCCAAGAAACGCGGACTTAAATTTTAGAAATATATTTTCGATATCTGAAAGTCTGCATCAGTTATTTGTTCAAAATACGGATGATGTGAATATAGAAGTTCCTTCCCATCTTCGTTTATATGTGTATATCATGGCTATGTGAAAGGTGCACCATGACACAAGACATATAGTTAGGGGTGTATGTGGGTTGGGTTGTTTAGTTGGACGGTTTACGGTATTTTTACAACTCAGTCAATTATGGCTGGTTGAGAAAATCCCAGCCCAGCCTATTAAGAAGTATAACCCAACACGTGCAACGGTTGGGGTAGGTTGGGGTGACGGTTTAGTAGTTACATAAATTTGACGAATGAGATACTTCATAAGACTTAAATTTATAGGATCAAACTTAAAGAGTTTTATCGAAAGGTATTACAAACGTTTTTGGGTGTTTCAAAAAGTTCTTTAGAACGTTTTTTTTAAATAAAGTGTTGTATTAGTTATTTTATAGAATAATTTTGAGAAATGTCGTGTAAACTCGTTTATTTGCATTCAAATAGTGTTGTTTAAAATAACTAATACGACATTTTATTTTAAAAGCATCTTAAAAATTTGTCAAGACACCTAAAACTGTTTTATAAACATATTGTAATATTTTTAGATGTGACACCTTTTTGTTTTGTGCTAAAAAATATCATATTATGACACTTCAACATTTTAAGTGTTGTATAAATATAATGTTGTTATGGTAAAATGCTATAAATTATTAGCCTTTCATTTTCAGTAAAGTACAACATCAAAAGAGGGAGTCTTTTGATTGATAGATTTGTCAACCAAATATCTATTAGCCTTGTTTATATTTTTCTTCATATCTATTTGTTGTTGTAAAAATGGTTTCAATAATTTTTTCTTTTATATACTTTGCTCTCATTCTTTCGTGGTGAATATCTTTCGATAACATATACATTTAGCTAAAAGGAAATACAAACATAAACTCAACAAATATTGTATAAAATCTTATACATCATTAATATATATAATAAACACATTTAATAATAATAACGGACTATCGGTTATTAGAGTACAAGGAGCGTGCTTGAGAGATCGGAGAAAAGTGTGTGATCTATTTTTTTTGTTTAATAAGAGATGTGTTTTACAAAGGGTAAGAATGTAAAAGACTTGGTTTCATGGAATAAGGTTTTTTCTAACCCATTAAGCCATTTTCAAACATTATATGTGACTTACCGATTAGCCATACATGTTATACAGTCTATTCATTAAGTCGATACCGAAAAGTCCTTATCACCATTGGTTCATTTAAAAGAATTGAAAAAAAATGAAAATAATTTAACATGGTTATCTTTTTCTATTTTTGAATAATTTAACATAGTTATCTATTTACGTATAAATATTTATACCATCTTATAAACCAAATTTCATAAAAGTCTTAAAATCTTAAAAACAAGTTTTTAAACATAATGTACTACTTATTAATGCATAAAAGTCTTAAATCTCTTTGAAAACAAATTCTGATACACGAAGTACACCTTAACAATGCTCAACGATCCATTGTATTCCCAAGACACTCTTATCAGACTGAATGATGACCTTATTGATGTTATCTTCTTATTGATCAAAGTTTATATTCCCAAAGACTTTGATCCTACCTCATTACTCTCCTGCTCTCCAAAGTGACCATTGATCCTCCCAAGAAATAGCCATTCTCGTTCCAACTATCATCGACTCCTAAACTCGACCTTCAAGATGACAATTCACTAATTTGTCTTCCCAGAGATGATGATTCAATGTCCCAGTGTGATGATTCGTGTTATTCGATACCATATAGTCATAAGGTTTAGAGTTGTGTTTCATTCTTGCTTCCATTTTTATCAACTGATTCGATTCTCGGTCTTGCTCAATTTTCTATTGGTTTGGCCCTTTATGTGTTCTTTTTGAAGTTTTACTACTCATTTTGGGTTTATTTGCATTGGATTCTCTTTTATGATATGGGTCTTGTGATGATTTTAGGTTCTTTTGGATGTATACTCACAATGAACTCGTGTTTTATGTGATTGGATTTATGTTTATGATATGGGTTTGGGTCTTGTGATGATTTTAGGTTCTTTTGGGTTTATGCTCACGATGGACTATGGTTTTATGTGATTGGATTTATGCTTATGATATGGGTCTTATGCTATTTTCTCACTAGATGATTATGCAAACTGGGATAGAACGCAATCAAGAGCACGACAGAAATACGATGGTTTGAAATGGCACATGTCAAGTTGCCAGTTATAGCATGGCCATTTGAGGTTTAAACTTTCAAAAACCTCAAACCTTAATCTTATCTTCCTTTTTTGGAAACACAAAGAAGAAATGGATTGTTGCAATCGAGACTCGTGAGTTTTGCAAGCTTAAAATTGTGGTCGGATTCTGGGTTCTCTCTGTTTTTGGGTCTTGGTCAGATTTCCTGACATTGTTTTAGATAAGTAACGCCATAATTTGGTTGTGTGCATGTGTTTTAGTTCAAGGTAAATGACCGATTTAACTCTTGTCAGATAAGCGTTTAGCAAACAACCCATTACTAAGATGTCAATATTTGAAGGATGAAGATTCCAATTGTTGATTAAGCTTTGTTTTTTTTTTTATAGTTATTATGAAACATGCATTAATTTGTTGTTTTGTCAATATCTTCTTGTTAGTGTTATGAATATTCATCGACTATGTCTTAATACAAGAAGTACTCACGTACAAAGGGAGGCAACCACCTCACGTGCTATCCAATTACTATGGATTAGTTTAGATCTACATTGCAAAAATTGTACTGTTTTAAGTTTGAACAGTTGTTTAAGGTTACTGATGGCAGAATAACATATTCAATGAGTGTTCTACGATGCTTTAAGTTCTCAATGAGTTCAAACAGTTGTTTAACGAGCTGAATGGATTTGTATCAATTTCTTCTTTTCTTGATGACTCTTATGTTCCATGTAATCGTGATCTTTGGTTGCTATTTCAATGGGTTTATGATGAAAACTTATCTTTTGGTTACATTATGATATTATATAATCATAAGATATGCATTACAAAAAATACATTATCATTCAATAATAATAACAAAAACTGGCTTATGTATGAAATGTCTAGCTTGACTAGGTTCCAAACCCTTTAAAAGATAGTATGTTTCATTTGTAGTTTTAGAATAGTAGGTACATTATTTTACCTTTTCGCCCAGGACATGAGAAACCCTAACACACATCTTTTTTATTGTTCGTTAGCTCCCTTCCTTCGTCTGGTTTAGCCTTAGGACCCTGGACAAGGAGGGAATAAAGGCAAGCTTTGAAGAGTGAATTTCAGGGGGAACTAACTGGTTCCAATGAGAAGGATTGTACAGAGGATTTTTTATCCGAATAAAGATAAGCTTCCACCGTCGACCCTTCTTCTTTTGGCACAACGCCAGCGTTGGGCAGTTGTCCCTAATAAGAGAAACCCCAGTACCGGCTCTGATATAGTGTATCTTATCTCGATGTATCTCATCTTAATGTGCATCTAAGTGTGAAGAGATCAATTTTTACATTTCTCACCTTAACACTCCTTATCACCGAAACACAACCCTCGTTACAAATGATTGTAAATTTTATTTTTATTTAAGGAAAAATTGCACTAAAATGGAACCAATTTTCACCTAATTCTTATTTTGGGGAACCAATTTTCAAAATCGTCATTTTGGGAAACCAACTTGCACTTGATTCCTATTTTAGAGAACCAACTTGCACCTCATTCATATTTTGGGGAACCAACTTTCAAAATCGTCGTTTTGGGGAACCAACTTGCACCTGATTTCTATTTTGGGGAACCAACTTGCAAAATAATTATAGAAAAATAACTAAAATTCATTTTTTTTCCAAAAATTAATGAAATAATATCTAATTTTCATTTCAAATCTCATTTTTTTTTAAATTTAGATATCAAATTGAACATTAAAAAAAAATCCAAATTACCACGATAAAAATTGTTTTTTACTAATGCAAAAAAAATCAATTTAATAGAAAAAAAATTAATTGATGCAATAAAAAATAAATATTAGGGAAAATTGCACAAAAATGAAACCAACTTTCATATGATGCCTATTTTGGTAAACCAATTTTTAAAATCGTCATTTAAGGATCTCTATAAAACTTTTTGTTTATTTAAGGGTCTGGTTGATCTGTTGAACATGTAATAAGTAATTTAAGGGTTTCTATCAAACTTTTGATTTGATTTGCCAAATTTGATTTAAACTTTAATATTGATACAAATTGGTTAGATATAAAAATTTTGAATGTGATATTTAATATTTATTTTTTATTGCATATTAATTTTTTTCTATTAAAGTGATTTTTTTGCATTAGTAAAAAATAATTTTTATTGTGGTAATTTGGATTTTTTTTAAAAATGTTCAATTTGATATTTGAATAAAAAAAACGAGATTTGAAATGAAAAATAGATTTCATTGCATTAATTTTTGGAAAAAAACGAATTTTAGTTATTTTTTTTATAATTATTTTGCAAGTTGGTTTCCCAAAATAAGAATCAGGTGCAAGTTGGTTTCCCAAAATGACGATTTTGAAAGTTGGTTTCCTAAAATAGAAATTAGGTGGAAGTTGGTTCCCCAAAATAACAATTTTAAAAGCTGATTCCCCAAAATAAGAATTAAGTAAAAATTTGTTCTATTTTGATGAATTTCTCTTTATTTAAACATAATATTCAATTTTTTTATTTTAATAAAAAATTATATTAATACATCTAAAAGTACACACGGTGGCAATCCGGAGTCGCATACGCACCTTGTTTACCGCACGAGCGAAAACTTAAAATTTCCAACAAATACAAACTATTCCAATCTACACCGTCAAATTATGTATTCATCTAAATCTACGGTCTAGAATGGTGATCTGCGTCAACACATTTCAGCCAATCAAAAACACACGTCCTGCTTATATATAAACAACCCCAAACCTAATCTCTTATCATCAAGTTTTTCTCTTTTTCATAATTAAAAGCGCGCCAACCCTCCCTCTATCTCTAAAAATGGCACCGAAGGCGGCAGAGAAGAAGCCGGCGGAGAAGAAACCAGCGGCGGAGAAAGCTCCGGCAGAGAAGAAACCGAGAGCTGAGAAGAAGCTACCAAAGGATGCATCGGCAACCGACAAGAAGAAGAAGAGGAACAAGAAGTCGGTAGAGACGTACAAGATCTACATATTCAAGGTCCTCAAACAGGTTCATCCTGATATCGGAATTTCAAGCAAGGCTATGGGAATCATGAACTCCTTCATCAATGATATATTTGAGAAGCTTGCACAGGAATCTTCGCGACTTGCGAGGTACAATAAGAAGCCTACCATTACTTCAAGGGAGATTCAGACCGCTGTGAGGCTTGTTCTACCCGGCGAATTGGCGAAACATGCCGTTTCTGAAGGTACTAAGGCTGTAACGAAATTCACTAGTGCTTAAGATGCTTTCAGGAAATTGTTTGAAGGTTTTCGATGTAACAATTTTACATATGGAATTAGTTGTTTAAATGTTAAAGTAATCGACAAGAACATCAACGATATGAAATTGATTATCTGTTCTGTATCTTTGATTTTGCTTTTGGAAATTTACATGTATGTCAATCCGAACACAATCTTTTGGGAGATGAATCTAAATAAATGTAATGACATACATGTTTTTAGGATAGTAGTTGGTAATAATTGAGTCTAAATTATAACATATGTCTTAATGTTTGTTGTAGACATGATTGATAAAAAAAGATTAATTTTTTTTAATACATGTTTGGACTAAATGATAGTCCGATATCTACTTGGCATAGAAGACGCAATACATCCGTTAGGTAAAATTGACTTTAAGGTTTTATTATTGTATGGGCCAAAAGTGGACTTCTGAAACTATTTACTGATTGATATTTGATATTATATCATAATATAATATTTGGGACGGGCAAAGAAAGGCATGGTTCGGGATTGGTTACGGGACCGAAAACCAGGACCGGTTGGGTTTTTTTGTAGTTTCATGGGATCGGGATTGGCTATGGCCTGCCTTGAAAATTCAAATAATTTTATAAATAAATGTATATTAAATAATTTTATAATGTATTTTTATAAGACAATGTAATTTTAATTATATTAAAATGTATTTTTAAAGTGTATTTGAGTGACACAATTGTAAATTTTATAATGTATTAAAAATATATATCATTAAAAAAATCTTATTTTTTAAGGAAAATTGCACCAAAATGAAACCAATTTTCACCTGATTTTTATTTTGGGAACCAATTTTTAAAATCGTCATTTAGGAGTTTCTATCAAACTTTTTGTTTATTTAATGAACTGGTTGATCTGTTAAACAAGTAACATGTAATTTATTGGTCTCTATTAAACTTTTGGTTTGATTTGCCAAATTTGATTTAAACTTTAAAATTGATACAGATTGGTTAGATATAAAAGTTTTGAATGTGATATTTAATATTTATTTTTTATTGAATCAATTAATTTTTTTCTATTAATTTGATTTTTTATTGTACTAGTAAAAAATAATTTTTATTGTGCTAATTTAGATTTTTTTTGAAAAAATCTTCAATTTTATATATTAATTTAAAAGAAAAACGAGATTTGAAATGAAAAATAGATTTTATTGCATTAATTAAAAAAAAAACGAATTTTAGTTATTTTTCTATAATTATTTTGTAAGTTGTTTTCCCAAAATAGAAATCAGGTGCAAATTGGTTCCCCAAAATAGATATCAGGTGCAAGTTGGTTCTATAAACTGACAATTTTGAAAGTTGGTTCCCCAAAATAGGAATCAGGTGACAGTTGGTTCCATTTTGGTGCAATTTTCTCTATTTTTTAATGCTGGGACCGACGTCCCATAACCGGTTATGAAGTACCTTGATTGGTGCTACCATTTTCGACCGGAACCGATTATGAGAAAGCTTGAGACTGATTAAGCCCAGTCCGGGACCGGTTTTTGGCCATCACTAATATCATTACATCTTTCGTTGCTACTTTTGCTAGGTAAAAAACTCAAAAAAAGGAACAAATATTGATGAAAAAACATTTTATATATTATAATAAAATGAACTCAAACTATAAGTATCAATGAGACTGCATAAGAATTATTTATGAATATTTATTTATTTATATGAAGATTAATTTATGTATTCAATTAAGATATTTATTTTTGATTTTTTTATTTATAACTTTTATGATTTAAGTATAATTAATTTTACATTTATTTATTTATTATTTTCTGTTACATTTAAAATAAGAATGATTTAGTTTTTCATCTAAAATATCTATTTTTACTGAAGTAATTCATTTAAAAATTCTTTTATAATTTTCATGAAAAATATTAAATCCACAGCTAATCGACGTCTTTTTTTTAAGAATCGTTAATTTTTGTTAATATATCATATGAGATCTTGATCATTGTAAATTTAAGTGGGAAAAAAATGTAAATGAACTATGAGATTACATGTGATATTTGTAAATCATGAAAAGTATACGTGATCTAATACAATTATTTTTATCATTTTTATATACATTAAATAAAAAATAAACTTTTTAAATAAAACATTAAATCATATTAAAATCATAAATAATGTAAAATAAAATTTTAAATTAATGTCTTAAATAACTCTCATATAAATAAATTACTTTTTATTCCTTATTTATTTATTTATTTTGAAACTATGTATTTAAAATATTATTTAGTCAATTATATGATAACGATACATATTTATTCTTTTTTTTTTAATTTAAATCGTTTTATATAAAGTTGAGTTCATATTGTTATCGTGAGAACCGTGAGACCATTTTTTTACATTTAAAACTTTACAGCAAAACACTGTAAAAATAAAAAAGAAATCCAAACCTTTGCAGCAAAAACACTGATCTCAATTTTTTTATATAACACCAACTTTGTATGCAAGGGTGGAACCCCATGGGGGCCCCGGCTTTTATACTTAAATACTATAACTAAGCTTTTAAAAATATATACAGTAAGTAGTTTAATTGGCAATCATTTGCAACCTCTTGGAGGTTCCTGTTTCAAATCCCCTTTCATGCATTTATATAAATTATTAATATTTAATTCTATATATTAGTTTTTATATAATATATTAATTATATGTAAACATAAGTTTTTAAAGTAAATTACATCGATATTACTATTTCTCGGTTAATACTTCGAATATTTAAGTTTTTAGAGTAAATGATATAATATATTAATTATATGTAAATAATGTTTAAGTTGGTATTACTATTTTTCTATTAATACTTTGAATGTTTCGAGTTTTAATATTACATTAATCAATCTTTTTCTAAAATTTAATAGTCAAAAAACAAATCATTTGGCTTTACAAATTTTTACAATATTATAGCATCTTCAACATATTCTTCAAAAAAATTCCAAAATGGATAATTAAAACTCTATTAAAACCAAGGCTCGAGCTCCCCGCCCCAGCCAATCTCCCATTGACAGAAAAGTCGTTTCTATCCAATACATTCTTGGGGTCAAATAAAGACAAAAGAAGATATGTCAGTGAGTGACCTATAAACCATTAATATCAAGGATTCTTATCGATGTAAATATGATAAAAAAAATGATTCTCTCTCATTGTAATCAATTTTTGTTTACACTCTTTCATGTTTTCTCCGTTTTGGAGAATTTTGGAGAGTCGGTTAGAGCAAAAATATGCCTAAAATCTCCATTTTCTCAGTTTTAAAAAATCTATTAAAGATGCTCTTATATTTCGGCCTCTCAGACTACAACGGTTGTGTTCCGCCCCTGTTTGTATGTATAAATAGTTGTCAATAAAATCAAATCGCAAGAACCAATCGTAGAGGGGCATCTGTGTCATTAACAAATTTCCTTTTACCGTTTAAAAAAATTAATTATGAATCAGCATATCAATCGTCCCCGTACAAGACTCCACCAAGCAACTAGAAACAAAATTCCATGGCTTATTCGAATCTCATTTATTTTCTACCATAATTACCCTCGTATACAAAAATATGTTCAAAATTTTTGTATTTACGACAACAAATCCGACCCCACCAGCCACCGGGGCGGGGTCGGCAGTTTGCCATCGCTCGACCTGTGCATCCAAGGACCACCGCGGTCCCACCACCGATTGTTAACCGAAGGCTCGTTATAAACGGTAAATTTACTGATCCCAACCGTCCTTCCTCCTCCCAAATTCAACTTTCCGATCCGTTAATCCCCCATACAACTCCGTAAACCTTTCTAAACACCTGCTTCGAACCCGATAATGCGCCTGCGTGTTTCCACTGATTGCAACACCAGAAAATTTTGACGTATCGATTGCCCACGCCGGTTTTATGTACTCCACCGAAGGACCCGAAGGCGTAGCATTCGCGTATAAGAAGTTCATCAACACATCCTCACAGTTAAAAACCTCATCCACCATCTTCCGCCCCGGCTCCGCCTCTTTGCTCCAATACCGCTCGAACGCCTCCTGGCGGTCGATAAACACGGCCCCCGTTAAAATCATGTTGTACCCGTTGTGACTACGAGCATGTTTCTCAGGTCGATACTTTAAAGGTGGTGGTCCAGTGACGAGCCGAGGGTAAAACCCGACGAGCCGTTCCGGGGTTTCCCGCCAAATCTTGAACCCACGTTCGAGATCGTCACAGTTCATCATGATATCATCATCGAGCTCGAGGACCGCCTTTGTCTTGATTAACGGGTCGATTCTGAACCGGTTGTTTAATGAGTTTTGTTCCTCGACTCGGATCCTGACCGGGACCATCGAGTTGAACTCGCTTGGATCAGGAGGCTTGCCTTTGTTCCAAACCACCAAGATTTCACGGACCGAGGCACATCGAGAGTAATGTTTTATGTACATTTTCAAGTTCCACATTCGAGCATCGTATGTCATGGCTAATAACGTGAATTGTGAAAAATGGTCGTTAACGGGATATGGTTTTTCCGCACCATTTCCTCCGTAGATGTATCCAAATCCAACGGATATTATCGCAATCGTTGCTATCAGTAGGATCGTGAAAACAAACTTACCCACAAAGGTAGTCGGGTTTATCTTGCCACGAAGAAACGAACTCACCTGATTCCACCGCAGCCTCAGTTTCAATCTCTCCCAAACCAACAAAGCGTCGTTTCTCCTCTTTATATTGTGGGTAAGCGGAAAAAAGCACTTAACGAACCCGAAAAGCAAACCCACGAAAAAAACGAGCAAACCTGCAGCCAGGATTAAACTGCACCCGATCACGCGCCTACTCGTCACGTCCCCAAATAAAGTCCGATCCCCGTCTGCAACCGCAATCCACTGCCCGGTCCTTAGCCCTTGAACATCAAGGTGATGCGATCGAGCCCCGTTCCATGCATTTTTACCTTTCGTCGGCTTTTCCATCCCCAAATCAACTCTCACTTCTTTATAACTGTCAGTTGTAAGAACTTCAATCTTGAACACAAGAACATTTTCATCATGACCTAACCGATAAAGATTCCCGTTGTAAGAGAAGGGTCGGCCTCCATTTCGTACTCCCGAAATGGGATTCTTCCTGTGTGGGGTCCACGGACCAAAAGGCGTGCTACTATACCAGATTTCAAAACCTCCATTGGTTCCTCGACTAGGATCAGAACCAAAAATCCAGTAGTTTTCCCCATGTTGTATGATAAAAGCGTCAACTAGCGGGCGTTCCAAGATGATCTTTTCGAGTTTCCACTGTAACGGAAACCCAACTGCTCGATAAAGACGGGTGTCCCCCCTTTCACCTCCATCGGGCATCATATATATCTAAAAAGAATATGTTCCCGAACATAAAACACAAACGACTAACCGAAACCATGATGGAAACAAAGAAACCGAAGGTTTATAAATTTAAAAGGTCTTACTTGACGATTGTAGTCGAAAACATATGGATGCGAAAGATGCCAGTCTTCATCCAAAGCCACTCCCAATTGTTCCCATGTTGCTCCATCATCGTTGCTCCTTGCAACCCCGATATCTCCTTGCATCGTTATCGGATTCTTGGTTTCAAAGAACAGATAAAGAATATCTCCCTGAATCATAATAAAAACCTAAACTTAATAAACAATACGAAGCAATGCCAGGAAACACGACGATTTTATTCCTCTCACAAGACAATGTGACGGTAATACATTTACGAACATATATGTACCGACCAAAGGGTCACTGTCCCAATGGTACCTCGGTCACCAGTAGAGCCCAGCCTCCCATGAGGTCAAACGTTCAAATCTCACCAAAGGTAAGGAGTGTGTGTAAGTATTTTATAACATACTTAAAAAAGCATGCAAGTACCGAAAATCGACAGCCCTCGGACATTTGTTTAGTTTTGAATCCAGAACCCGATGTTTTCACTTTCTTTCAAGTGTAAAACCAAACAAGCCCGGTATCTCCCACAAGAAGATGGGGTCTTGGGGGTGAGATGTAGGCATACTTGACCCCCAACCCTAAAGAGTAGAGCAGTTGTTTCCTTGAACAGAGGCGGACTGATATATGTCCGAGCGGGCTCCTGTGCACCTAATCAACTTATTTTCGCAAGATTTCTTTTGGGGTATGAAAGAAGGCCCCGTGAACTTTTAAGGGTGCTCCGAGATAATAGAAAATATAAGACACATCAACCAAACAATCTAAAAAAATACCTCGAAATCAACCAAAAAACTTTAAAATCTTGCGAAACGGTGAAATTCGGCTAAAAACACATCAGACGACTCTGTGGGCCTTTAATATACCTTAAAGGTGCACCCGCTCGGCAAAAATTCTAGGTCCGCCACTATCCGTGAAGACCCACTATACTCTGTGGGCTTGTGTATAGTGTGGAAAAAATGAATTGCAGAAAATAACATTCGAACAAGAAAGAACTTGAAAACAAGAAAGACAGTGCTGGAATTTGAAACTTTGTAAGGTTATGCCAATCTGAATCACCGCCAATCTGAACCACGGTCAACCACCGCTGAATTGAACCACCGCCGAGCACCGTTGATCTGAACCACGGTCAACCACCGCCGATCCCGAACCACCGCCGATTACCACCCAAATAGCTATTTTAGATGATAAAGAATTAGCAATTTTGAGACAATTTTAATATCGATTTAGCAACGTCGTTTGGTTTATGGTTATATTTGGGTTGTGTATTTTATATTTTTAGTTTTAAAAAAAATAAAATTTTCAAAAAAGGGCATTTTGGTCATTTACCAATATTTCATTCCAATTCCAAAGGTACATTCTGTAAACCAAACAGACATATTCCAATTCCTTAAGAGATTCCAATCTAATGTCTAGTGGTCAAACCTGATAACATTTTATTCCAATTCCTTCAAAGTCAAATTCCTTTAAAACATATTCCATTCCATCCAAAAACATTTTGCGAACCAAACAACACCCAAGTGTATGGGCAAGCAGTCAAATGTTAATAAACAAACCCATATCCCACCCGAAGATAAGGTCGGGAGTCAAATGTAGGCAGACCTTACCTCTGTCCTAAGAGACTGAAAGGTCAAATGTTAATGAAACATGTAAAGTGATAAGGCTACGCCAGTTAATTCAAAAGGTTTCCCACCTAATTGTTTTGATTCTTCTACTCGTTAATCTTTTCTTCCATGAAGTAGTAAAATGGAAGTCATATAACGTGGATGTTGTTAATCGGTAAAACGATTAGAAATACAACCTTGTTGCAAAAGACTCCTGAACTCTCAAAGAAAGCCTTTCTTTAACGAACCGCTAAGTCTTCATTATTGCAGTCAAAAACCGAAAAGCCTACCATATTGACAAAAAGGGTACGGGACCAAAGAAGTTGGACCGTATCCAACACGACTCTAATCGTGGTACTTTGGAGGTTAAAGGTGTGATCCCACTATCTGTTTTCCATCCAAAAAGATCAATCATATACCAAGCGGATATAACAAACCTTTAAAGAACGTCATCTTTTTGTGCGTTTGTTGCCCAGACAAGACGAGACATGACAGAACAAAAGGTTGTTGTCCCACATATGGTGCGACAATTAGACTGTGACATGACATAACTGAGTGGGACAAAAATTGCAGTTTTTCTGTACTACCAAAATAGGTTGAACAAAAATCAGCGAGACCAGACAAGATAAGCAAATTACTAAACTACTCACGTCAAATTAAAACCTTCCGCAATTCTTTCACACGTCTACCTCAATTTCCTAATCCAGTTCAGTCCAATATAGTCCATGTACCGAACACACCATTAGCGCATTTGCAAGTCTTCATAATCCAACAAGCTACCATACAGACACAAAGAGACCCAACTCAAAGATGCTGGACCAGTTAGTCGACAACCAAACCGACTTGCTTCTCCGGTTAGAACCAGATCAATCACATAGCAAATAGATGTAACCTCAGATAGCCACAGTTCTCCAGTTTCATGGAAGCAATATATGCTTCAAGATCATTCATATTAAGCAAAATTCATTTCATTTGATCATGAACAGCAAAAAGAAAGGGATTAATGAAGAATTACCTGAGAATAAAGAAAAGGATCAGCAACAAAATTACTTGGAAACCCAGAATCAGTAATTGAAGCACAAGTCAAGATTGGGTTTGCTACAGGCCAAGCTGCAGTTTTATTATCCCAAATATTCATCTGCAAGTCAATCAAACCAAGACCCACTTTATACATCAAAACCCCACATAAGAAGTCCAATCTTTAATGAAAGGTGATTGAAGGATCCAAATAAAAAATACAAAACAGTAACACCCACTTCAAATACAACAAAATCCAACAAAATACCCCCAACTTGTTTGATTTGATTTGATTCCCAAATCAGATAGGAAAAAACTCATATTATACTCAGCTTCATACATCAAAACCCACAAAAAAATCCAATGTTTTTTGAAATAAATTAAAGAAGTCAAATAAGAAATCATGGAATGCTAACACCCACTTCATATATCAGAAAGTTTACCAAAAAAAACCCCCAATTTCTTTGATGAATGTGATTCCCAAATCAATTTGTATGTCAAGAACCCACAAGAAAATGTGGAAATCCCTAAATCAGAAAATGCATAAGAACAACCCACAAAGTGATTTGAGAACTTACATCTTCAATGGGTTTAAGAGAGAAGGGGGAATCCCCATAGAAAACTCCGATTCCCCATGAACCCTCGTTATCCTCTTGACAGCCGAGTGAATTATTATAATCCAAATTAGGGTTGTTGAATAAATAAAAGATATAGAAAACCCCAACTGAACTACACAACAGAAAAGAAACAAACAGACAGTGCACAGTCGATGAAGCGCCACCGCCAATGTCGTTCACGCGCCACCACCTGTTTCGAAACCCATGGGTTTTATCTGTCGAACCACCGTTACTGCCCACAATCGGACTCGAACCCATGTCACCGGCGGCGATTACAAACAAACCATAATCCGCCGTGAAAAGATCATATCATATGCAAATCTTCAAATCATCTGAAAAGGGGTTTTCAAATTACGTATAACAGCTTCTATGCAAATCTCGATATGCGATTGGAAACTTATATCAAGAATTGTGAGTGGGTGGTACTGATTTATCTATCTGAAATTCCTAAAATGGTGGTGAAAGAAAAGGTGGCAGTCACCCACGCGGTAGAGGAATTGGGATAACGTGACGTGCGTGTATACATACAGATATATGTATGTATAATTAGGTAATTATTTTGAATTTATTAATTTGACGAAGCTTACTAAAAAGGGTAAGGAAAATGTTACAGAAACAGAACTGCATTAAAGACTCCATACGACTCCTCTTATTAACACACAATTTGCCGCATATTAAAACAAACTTCCTTGGACTTTCCTCTTTTTATTTTTTTATTAAATAAGTAAATTACTTATTATATTTTTTTCAATGCTATTTAAATAAAATTTAGCAACTACATATTTATATATCTATATTATATTATAAAGCATTTGACAAGAACTTCTAAAAACTATTTTTTATGCATAAAATATTGTTTATTAATTCATATTACTTAAAACTCAATATTACAAGTAGATTGTGAGTAAGTATAACTTATTAAAGCTCCATATTTGAATTCGTGTAATTAACTGCAKATAAACATAATCAAATACATGATAAACATCTCTTTTTAAATATAAAAAATATAAAATATAATTAAAATTCGATAAATAGTTTAATAAAATAAAAAAAACAACATATTAATTATTATTATTATTATTTTATTAAAAATTATTAATTAATTAATATTTCTATATTGACAAACTTCTTTTATTAATAATTAATTTCAAGATTATTTAAACTCATCGATTAATATCATTTCATTATAGTTACATAAACCGAAATTTTGAAAGTTTGTTGCTTGTCGTAAGTGCATAGCATGTGAGGGTCATGTCATAAGTTACGATTCGTTATAGTATTGCAAGTATGATATGAAACACAAATAATTTTTGTTAAATCTAAAGAATTAGAGATCTGGGTTGGGTTCACGTGAGACCATTTTTTTTACACTTGAAACTTCACAGCAAAACGATGTAAAGGTAAAAAAAGTCAAACTTTCACAACAAAAACACTGTAAAGATTACCTTCACAACGTTTTGTTGTGAAATTTCAAGTATAAAAAAGTGATCTCACGGGTCTCACGAAAACAAGTTGATCTCACGTGATCCCAAGTCTTGAAGATTTTTCTATAATTATTACTATTTATATTAATAAAATAAAATGTATTAGTGATTGGTTTTAATTATATTTCGTAATGTTAGGATTCACTAACTTTTTAAACCAAAATTTAGTAACTTATTAACATGTCATTTTACATCTGTTAACTACCTTATCATATATATTTTCTCAGGCATGATTAATAATCAACTAACTTTGCAGTTAAGACTAGTTTATCATCTAGCTTGTCAAGCATAGTCAAAATATAAGCTCAGGGGCCATTTACCGAACACTTACCCGGTAAGTGTTTACCAGTAAAATTTAACACTACTATTTACTTATTGAGTAAGATTTTAGTTCACCAAAACGACATCGTATGCAACAATTTACCCGGTAAGCTTTTACCGTGGTAAGAGTCATCGCCCTCACTCACTAAGTAAGACTCATGATCTTTATCTTGCTCTTATTAGGTAAGATTCTTGGTCCTCACCATATTCATCCGGTAAGGTAACGCGACTTGGTAAGCACTTACCTGGATAAGTGTTTGGTAAACGGCCCCTTAATCGACCTTTTTAAGTGACAAAAGTGTAATTGTAATATACCCTAAAAATGATACAATCAGTACGATTCTAAAAGTACAAACATAATCAAATCAAGTTATCAAACCTAACGAAAAGTACACAACAGATTTCACTCGAAAGTGAATATGGGATTTATAGAATATAAGGTGACCTTTCACCTACCCCAAGGGGTACAAGTTATATTTCCATGAATATCTCGGGATTAAAGTACTTCAGTTGAATTGAAACAGATAAGATGGTCTTAATGGCGGATCAAAAAGTCTTGTTATCTTTAAAGCCTTCTTATTTTTTTCCCGATTCAAAATAGTCGACGCTGTTCCACAAAAAAACCAACTTAGAAGACTTTTTCCACTTGACGTGTTAAGTAACTCATCGATCAAATCATTCATTGGATATTATATTTTGTCGATCCAATCATATTAACGTCGGTAATGATCTAATCCAATCATATTAACGTTGGAAAAAGAGAGAATCAAAAGACAAAAAACAGATAAAAATGAAGGATATGGACCAACGATGACAATAGACGGTATGGAGAACGGGCAACGATGGGACGACCAGGAGGAGCAATGTCATTCGACAGAAGGGATTTAAATGACGTACTGTTTGGAAACAGTAAAAGCAATTTAAGCTTTTTTTTTTTACTTTAAATCATATCCGATTACAAGTAGTTTTTTCACTTTTTTGGGTTGAAAATTTGTTTATGTATTTAAAAATTAAAAAATATATATATGAATTAATTTATTTCGCTTTCGAAATGGATACTGTGATCAGTGTCCAGTGATGTGAGATGTGTAGGTGTGGGTGAACCGGGCCCACATAACTGGGGCGGTTGTTGGGCCGACCAAATAACTTCATCTTTATGTCGTTATTAAACGTTTTTCATTTCTTTTTTCATTTTATTTTTTATATCAATTCTAATTTATATAGGCTTTTAAAAATTCAACTGAATAAATGCATGAAATTAATTTTTATCAAGATTTTTTTTAGTATTTTGATTTGAACTAAGATGACATGACAAAAGTTATCAGGTTTTCATGTCACTGTACACATGAGATATTCGTGTTTAATGTGGTAGGCCCAAGAATTTTAATGATGAGGTTTCGAATTTAAATAATATTAAACTAGTTGTGTATTCATGTAATGCGGCAGGAGCTGTGAATTTTAACGATTTTGAAGTTTCACTGGTTTTATTAGAGAAGATTTAACGATGATATAAGTTACACTTGGTCTTTACATGTTAATACAATTTGAATAAATAAGAGTTATGGTTCCAATTACAATCTATTGAAGAAAAAAATTGTATAACAGTTTAAAATCCAACATATTTAAATGACTCCGCAAATGTGTTCAATTTACAACAAGAGCAAAGAATCAAGAGATCGAGAGCGAGAGTTCTAGAGCAATTGAATAAAAGATGAATGAGAGAACTTTTAAAAAACTCATGGTGAATGTTAGTTTGAATCTCACCTTGGGGGATGAGAAGAAGACAGAGAGGTATGAAAAGGGTGAATGCATAGGTGAAATGTGTCAAAAGTATCTGGGAACATGAAAATAAAATGTAATAATGTGCATAAAGTAGTAGTAGAAGTACTTAATGCATTATAAGTTGTTTTTAAGACTTTGTGCATAAATGTATAGTACTTTGTGCATTAAAAATTGTTTTTAAGACTTTTGATAAATTTACTTTATAAGGTAGTATAGATATTTATACTGTATTATAAACTCGTTGGGTTTTACCTCCTACAAACTATGGGCTTGTAAAGTACAGTGTTAAGACATGAGGTACAACTGTACAAATCAATAATGGATTTAAAATCTTTTAATATTTATAGCATTCTTATTTTACCTATTTTATAAATGATAAGAATGAAAACTTGGATTACTTTCTTCATGATGACAGATCGAGTTTTGGGAACGTGTAGTTTTATTTCAGTTATAAGAAAGGCTAAAACACTGGTATGTGTACCAGTGACAATGCGTGGGATATAGAAAATTTTACATTGTTGCGATCAATACATGATTACATACATAAAACAGCAACAAAACAAGACGGTTATGTTACATCGCGTTAAAAATACTGGTAGAAATTCAAGTACTTTGAACATTTGCGAACAATACCAGTTAGAGATGTATTACGTTTCAGTGTCACCCTTAATCTTTCAAATTCACACAAACTCATAAAATAAAAATCGTAATAAACCAAAGAGAGATGTATTACGTTACAGTGTCACCCTTTATAAAGTGTGATTATTAAAAATTATGACGAAACTATTAAATGGTGGCACGAACTACTGTACCCCCGTGTATAGGCCTACCCATGGTTTGGTTTAAGCTTGGAAGCTCGTTGGTCAAGTGAATA